TCAATTGCTTCTGCATTTCCAGCTCCTTCAACTTGAATACATGATAACTAATTGTAACATTCCCATTCCCATTTCCATTTCCATCTTGATTGAGATTTGGTAACCAAGCTGTAAGTATGCGCGTTCTGAAGGAGCTCTATTGTAGGAGGTTCCATTCTTCAAGTGAGTGATGTCCCAAAGTATAAACGTGTCCCTGCATAAACCTTTTAACCATAAATGGTCAGTTTTATTTTTGCTTGGAAGAACAAAACCAATCCTAGAACATCACCTTGTTCAAGATCTATCTTGTGTGATTATGATGCTGTGGCTAAGAGCTGTGTTTTGACCTGATTTATTTTAGCGACACTAGGCGACAGGTGAGGAACAGTCTGAGAATAGAAACAACTTGAGGTCTTGGTCTTTTATTAAAGTTGGAACAATAGAAGCAGCTTCAGTGATTGTGGTCAAGATCTCATCCAGGACTTTTGTTAGTTTTCGGCTGTTTCGTATATCGGTATTTTCATTAGGGGTGAAAAACGTTTTTAAATTCATCACTGGAGTACCAGTGAGGCCAGGAGGATTAACTTTACATACTAATCCACTTGGGAATCTTAATGGTAAGTTTTATTTGTAGATCAGCATATTATTAAAATACAGCTTCTCTCTCTGTTCAGTAATATTGACAGGAAATGACCTAGTTTTTAATGTTTATGATGTGTTGACATGATGAATGGGTTTAGATACAAGACTTTTTATAAACATTACCAGTAAACAGAATTTAAGTATTTTTACCTTGTAGCTTTCAATATGTTCCATTGTTAAATTGTTTATTTATCTAATCTGTCAAGACCAAAAAGTGTATAATTTGCCATCTGTGGAAACGTTTTAATTCATATAGCTAAATGCAGTTGTTTGCAGTTACTAGGCACTTGCAAACTCCACTCCGTATCCAGATCAATTTGCCAATGGCAAACAACATGGCTGAATTTTTTCTACGTTGTTTTTCTTAGTTTTTTGTGTGTGGATGTCACTGTCAAGATCAACATTTAGTTGCCCATTCCTAACAGCTTTTAGTGGCTTGTTCAGCCATTTCAAAGGACTCTTGAAAGTTAATCATACGTTGCTGTTGACCTGGAGTTATATGTATGCCAGGTCACATAAGGATGGCAGCTGTCCCTTCCTGAAGGACATCAATAAAGAAGATGGGGTTTTTCTAACATTCAACAGTTTCATGGTCATCATTACAGAGACTAGCTTTTGATTCCAAACACACTATCAATAGAATGTAAGTTCTACCAATTGCCGTGGTGGGTTTTAAACTAATGATCTCTGAGCACTAGCCTGGGCCTCTCAATTTAGTGAAATTATCGTTGACTCTCCTCTTTGTGTACTTTAAACACCTGTTTAGTTGTAATTTAAAGAATTTTGTATGGCATTCATATTTAGGGCATGACAATTGATTTGAAAACTGAACTAGTGAATCTTCAACAGTCTCTCATTGTTTTGTCATAACTTAACCTTCTGGGGTGGAGAGAGGAAGGGGAAAGGTGTACATTTTAAGTGTGACAATTTAAAGTTTGACGCCTTTATTTAGAGAATTTAAGTCTCTTGATTTCCTGGAAGGTTGTTTTTATTCTCAGCTATTTCAACTTCAAAATTCTCAATAGAATGATGTAAAACTGTGCAAAATGCCTGAAAGGGAATTGTTGATCAGAATCTCTGATGGATCAATAGTTTTTTGTCTTATTACGAGCGTGGGAGAAGTTCAAAATTAGTCATATTGGACTCAGTGTTAACTCTGTCTCCCAAATGCTGGCAGACCTGAAGTTCTGCAGTACATTTTTTATTTAAGATCTCCAGCATCCACAGTAATTTGTTTTTATTTAACAGGAAAAAGTAGTGTATAAACGGGTGACGGGAGTGCATGACATGAAGTAGGTGAAGGATCAGTTGCCCCACATGGGGTGGTTTTTAATTCCCTAGATATCCATTTTTGATAGGTCAGAGCCCTCTATCTAAAGTGAAATTGTATATTTTCAGACTATTCCAGTAGTTGCCTATAGGAAGTTTAAATTTTCTGCCAGTTACCACCTATTGTTACATTGGGACTTCAGGTTGCATCTTTCAGAGTATGTCTGGAGCTGGGAAGATCTATACCATTGTGTACACTTGCTGCTCAGGCTTTCAGAGAATATAGATATTCCAGCCAGTAAAATTTGAGGTGTGCACATTGAGTTAAGTCCTGACCAGTATTTCAGAAATGTAACAGGTGTGGGCTGGAATAGATAAATACATGATTGCACCAAGAAACATGCATTACACAAGTAACCAGTTCCTTGCTTGAGAGTTAAAAGGGTTAAGTGATGTAGGTCAAATACTTTTTTGAATATAGAAGTTTGAAGGCAATCTAATTGAAGTGTTTAATGTGTTTTAAAAATTTAGAATGGAATTATTTGTTGGGTGCTTGGATCCAGAACAAGAGACTTCATTTGAAATGAAACCTAGGTTCTTGGGTATTGTTGGAAAGCAAGCTATGGGTGGAATAATGATCTAGTTCAACCACAGAGGTATTATGGCACAGTGACTATAGCTGTAGGTTAGAGGGCCTGGGTTCAAGTCCCAGCTGCTCCAGAAGTCTGTCATAACAGATCAATTTAAAGATATCTGTGGAACAGTCATGAGAACTGAATGACACAACACCCTCAAGACTGGGCACCCTCTGAAGTTTTATGCATAAGTTAAATATAAAATTACAAACTTGATCAATTTTCTTCCTTTTGACTTCTGTAAAAAGATTTCTATAATCATAGAACATCCCATTCCAGGTAGTTCAAGTATAGGAAACTATATTCTATTATCAGCAAACATGAAGGAGAAGTCGTCCTATGTCCAATCTTGTGCTAATTATAAATTTCTGCGTGATGTAGACTAATACCTTTAGTCTGCTCTTTGAGCTGATTGGTTTAGGAAACCAAAGAGAATCTGACTTCACCTGGAGAATCAAATGGAAAATAGCTACTATAGCTTAGATTCTTGAAATTATATTGTTCAGGGCTTTATGGCACAAATTCTGTTTCCACCGAACAAAAAAAACAGATGCTAGAAATCAGAAAAACAGAAAATTGCTGGAAAATACACTGGTTGGGGAGCTGGAGCTGGATGCACTCAGGATCTGTGCTGAAGCGTGCATCATAGATGAGAGTTTTCGTCAGATGCAGGCAGAGAGCAGCTGGGTGACCACCAGGAAAGGCAAAGGGAGGAGGCAGACAGTGTAGGAATCCCCTGTGGTCATTCCCCTCAAACAAGTATGCTGTTTTGGATACTATTGGGGTCGGGGGGAGCGTGCGGGAAAGAATAATTATTCTGGGTAAGGCAGTAGTAGCCAGGTCGGTGCCACTGTGACTGGCTCTGGGGCATTTTGGGAAAGGATAAAGATAAACAGGACCTTTAGTGATAGGAGACTCGATAGATAGGGGGGTGCAAACAGGAGATTCTGTGGCCGCAAACAGGAATCCAGGATGGTGTGTTGCCTCCTGGGTGCCAAAGCCCAGGATGTCTTGGAGCAGCTGCAGAATGTTCTCACGGGAGGGTGAGCAGCCAGAAGTCACTGCACGTTGGCACAAATGCTGTAGGTAGAAATAGGGATGAGGTCCTGCGGAGTGATTATAGAGAGCTAGGAAAAACATTAAACCAGGACCTCGATGGTAATCTCCAGATTACTTCCAGTGCCATATGCTAGTGAGGGTAAGGAGGATATAGCAGGTGAATGCGTGGCTAAAGAATTGGTGCAGGGGACAGGGCTTCTGATTCCTGGATCAATGGGATCTTTTCTGGGGCAGAGGTGACATGTTCAGGAGGGTTCTGAGGAAGGTCACCGGACCCGAAGCGTTAACTGTTTTTTTTTCCTTCTCAGATGCTGCCAGACCTGCTGAGCTTTTCCAGCAACTTTATTTTTGCTCTTATTCAGGAGGGACCTGCACTGGAGGGGAACCAATATCCTGGCAGGTGGATTGCTAGTGCTACAAGGGAGGGTTTAAACTAGATTGGCAGGAGGGTGGGATGCTCAACAGCAGGGAGGCAAGTATGAGGCTGGAAAGAGGTAGTGATCAGAAATAGCAAGCTGAAGAGACCGGTCAGGCTGGAACACGACATGGAGTGAGGAGTGCCTCGGAATTCATCGGCCTTGCCTGTCAGCCCTCTTGCATTGAAGTAGATGCAATTTAATCTAAGAGGCATGTAACTGAATCCCAGCTTGTGGGTGCGAATGAAATGACCAGAAGCATTTGCCTATCTGAAAGGATATCCTTTTGCAGTGCAAAACAAAATCCTGCTGAGGAGAGTAGTTTATTTTCCCTCACCAGTTACTATGTGAGCTGTTGGTTTTAACCAAGAAGTAAGTTTAAAAGTTGTGAACCAGTTATTCTGTGCCTGCTGCAAGCAAGCAAAATTACAAGGAGAGAGACTGAGGAGCAGCAAATCCTAGCCATCTAAAAGGGTTCCTCAACAAACCTGTGAACAGGGACTGTTGAACTTCTTCCCAGATTTTCCCTCCAAACATAACACCAATTTTTTTCATCTGTGTGGAGGGTGTGATTTCTTAGTGCATTAGAGTTTTAACTAGCACTTATATGCTGAGTTCATAGATTCTGGCTACAGGTAAGCAACTATTTGTTTATAATAATTTTTAAGAACAGAAACCTGGTATGTGCTTTGTCAACCTGAGTCTAAAAGATGGATACGCTAGAGAATTTTCAGCTGCTTCATCAATGACCTTGCCTCCATAATAAAGTCAAAATGGGACTATTTGCCAGTGATTACACAACCTTCAGTATTCACAACTCCTGCATTTGAAACATGCAGTGGAAGGACTTCCTACAGCACTATGAGCGATTTAGAATCACATTGAGTTGGTGGCTGTGAATGATGGCGGACCTGTCTGGCTTTTGCTTCTGTTACTGACTTCCTCAGTCATGACGACTGTGTTTATGGTGCCAATAATGTATTTTCGTCTTACTTTACAGATAAAATAATGAAGTAATAAAGATGACTTCCAACTTTCAAGCAACAATCGGCTCCGTTGTGACTACTATCCGTAATTCGACTAAGGAATACTGCTATAGTGCTCGGATAAGAAGTACCGTGTTGCAGGGTTTGCCCTTTGGAGGAGTTCCTACAGTTCTTGCACTAGATTTTATGTGCTTTTTGGTATGTTTGTGTGGATTGGTATATTAAACATGTATGTTTGTGAGCATCTCTTGTCACTACAGATATTTGTATACAATCACTTGGCCCAGATTTTCCTCTCAAAATATAGGGTAATAGTGTAAAGTGTAAAGAGCTAATTAACCTTTTAAACAGTATGATAAATATTTGTTACAGACAGTCACTCAATCTGACACTGAAAGTAGACGGTTACATGTGTTCCCAGTGAGCAAGATAATTGCCAAAGCTTTGGTAGCATAGGCAAAAGTCAGGCTGTTACAACGCAGATAAACATAGCAGTACATTCTCTGTGTGCAGTTTGCACAGTTTTCCACATGGCTTGGAAAACCATCTGGTGAAGTTGACCAATGACAACAATGTAGCATATATAGTAAAGTCTCAAGCTGAATTGCAGGGACCCACCCACACTTGTGATAGCGGCACTTTGATGTAGCCAAGGAAGCTCCTATGTATTCAGACTTGCCTAAAAATATCCGAGATAGTAAGAACTGCCAATACTGGAGTCAGAAATAACACGTGGAGCTGGAGGAACACAGCAGGCCAGGCAGCATTTAAGGAGCAGGAAGGTTGATGTTTCGGGTCAATTTCCCGACCTGAAACATCAGCTTTCCTGCTCCTCTGATGCTACCTGGCCTGCTGTTCCTCCAGCTCCACACTATTGCCTAAAAATATGCTCTGTCAAAAAGAAAAGAATAAAAACACACCAAACATTAAAATAAAGTTCAACCTTACAGTGGAAGAGCAGGCCATTGTAAAAGAGTTAGCTCTTAATAAATAGTATACTAAACAGAAAAACAAAACTCTGCAGATAAGTCCACCCTGTTTGACCACACAGATAACATGTTTCTGTGCTCCAGGGTGAAATCCAGAATACCTGTGCCAATTGCAGCTTCAGCTAGGGAAATAGGCAGGTGGGAATTCATTACACTCTTCAGGGTCATTGAAAATAATCCTTTTGGCTGATTTTACTCCACATGCCCACCTATCCCCAATAACCTTTCATCCAATTCCTTGTATGAATTGACCTCCTGCCTTTTAAAAAGAAGTCAAATACTCGAACTCTGCTTCCACCACCTTTTTTGAGGAAGAAAGTCACAGGACCTACTGAAAATAATTCTCCTTTCATAAATTGGTAACTCCTTATTTTTAAACAGTGATTCAAAGTTCTGGATTTTCCCACAAGCAAAAATATCCTGTCCATATATCCTGGCCTATTTCTGCTCATGTCAAGTCTGCACCGCCATCTGGTGAGACAGTAATTGATCTGATCCGCAGCACCACTTCCCTGCCTTTTTCTTTATAACTACTGATTCCCTTACTGCAAATAAAATATTCCACAGGTTCACTACCCTCAAGAAATTCCTCCTCACTTCTGCCTTGAATGTGAACCCCTTAGAGAGATTGTGGGAGAGTCTAGGACCAGATGCCACAAAGAAAACAGCCTGTCCACTTGCATCCCCTCGAGTCCCCTAAGAACCTTGTATGTTTCAATAAGTACATTCTTCTTAATTCAATGACTCTTACCAACTTTTATAGATGCACTATAGAAAGCATCCTATCTGGATGCATCACAGCTTGGTATGGCAACTGCTCTGCCCAAAATAGCAAGAAATTAGTTGTGAACACAGTCCAGTCCATCAGGAAAACCAGCCTTCCACCCATTGACTCCGCGTGTACTTCCGCTGCCTCAAAAGCAGCCAACATAATCAAATACCCCTCCCACCCTCTTCCGTCAGGCAGGAGGTACAGCTTCTTCCCCTCTGTTATCAGAGTTATGAATGGACCTGGTATATTAGAGTTGATCTTCTCTCTGCACCTCCTCTGTAGCTAATGTACTTGGTAGCAAGCAAAACAGTACTTTTCACTGTATCTTGGTACATGTGACAATAATAGATCAAATCAAATATAGGTCCAATTTAAACAACCCGTCCTCAAGGTGGTTACTAATCAAGAAGACTATCTTAGATTGCAAAAAAATGTATAGATGGATTGATCAGCTGGGCAGATCAGTGCAGATCCGCTGAGATTAAATCCTGAGATGATGCACTTTGGAAGAAGTAACAACAAGGGAGAACTCTGAGTGACACAACATAAGGAAGCTCAAGAAGACGGATTTTGAGGTGCTTCTCCACCAGTCTCAAAGTGGCTTAATAGAATGGTTAAGGCGGCATACAGGACATATCAGTCATTGCATAGATTATAAGAGCAGAGACATTATGTAGGAACTTACAAAACGTTGGTTAGGCCATAGTTGAAGTGCTGTGGGTAGTCCTGGTCACCACACTACAGGGAAGGGTGTGACTGCACTGGAGGGAGTGCAGAGGAGACTTATCCAGACATTGCCTGGGATATCAAGATCCCTCTTGCACGTTTTGTTATCCTCGCCTCTTGCCTTCCCACCTAATCTCGTATTATCTGCAAACTATGAAACTACTGTGTGTTGTATTATCAAAGTACATTGGTTCTGAATAGTGCCAGTAATTTCTGGCACAATTTAAGTTGCAGTGAAACATGGGAGAGCTCATAAGGGCTAACTGGGGACATACTCTTTCAGTAGAGTTGATCAATAGTTACTGTCCAAATCCCCTCTCTTATATGTACAGTGAACAAACAATGCTTGAAGATTAGCAAGACTATATTTTAAGTCTGGAGGAGCATGCATAAATTGTTACACAGAATTCAACAATTCTTAAGATGTTAACTCATTTACAGCATAAATTAGGAGGGTCTTATAGTATGAATTGCCTTTTTTACAGCTGTTGTTGAAGGCAGTATCTACTGACCCCCATAATTTCAGACAACTATACATGTTAATGTGTTAGAAACGTGTGCATTTTCTAGCTATCACATGTAGAACATGTGTGACCTCTTTGCAGCATAAGCAGTTTTGAAACCAGGTTCAGCAGTGGAGAGTCTGGACACAGGAGGAAGGAATTGGTTGTGGGGTGCATGAGAGGATCAGAGGGGTGGGGAGAACCCTCCCCTCCTGCGTCCTGAATGCCCCCACCCCCTCAGTCCCAATCTATGTTGGCCAAAACTCTTTAAATGCATGTGCATGATTTTAAAGTGGCCTATAGTGCGTGAACTAGTGTCAGCAAACACCGCTATTATTGAATGTGGAATGCAATATACTTGGGTGCCAAACATGAAGTTTATTTCCCTTTTTTTTGTTTTAGGCACTACTGTTTGTGTTCTCCATTTTGCGAAAGGTAGCTTGGGACTATGGGCGACTTGCACTAGTTTCCGATGCTGAAAGGTAATGGCTTCGAGTGTATTAACCACTGCTTTTCAGTTGCTTATGAAGCGTGGCTGTACTTTTTTAAATCTTCCAATGGCTTTTTGTCAACAATAAAAACATTATTTTCTATTCCTTTATTCTATAAAAATTAATGTAACAAGTTTTATAAATTAATTAATCTTACTGTATATCAAATCTATTTTACCCTTTTTTTCCTCCATGTCCCTTGACTCCCTTAAACAAAAATGTCAATTCCAGCCTTGAAAATTGCAGCTAGTACATCATCCTTGGTTTCTAGAGGAATTAACTACTATTTCTTTAGTGAAATTGTTTCCTAGTTCACTCTTGAATAGCCTAGCTATTCGATTTAAGGCTAAATATGTTCTTATGTTTGTCCCCTTGTTGATCTTCTAGCCAAATAGGGTGTTGGTTTGCATCTAACTTATCAAATGTCATTATCGTTTTCAAGAACTTTATCACATCACCCCTTCAACCTTAAATTCGAAGGAGTACAGATCAACTTCATGTTCCATGTCATCAACTTCCAGTTCTGAAGAAAGGTCAATGGACTCAACGTTAACTCTGGTTTCTTTCCACAGATGCTACCAAACCTACTGAATCTTGCCAGCAATGTCTGATTTTTGTTTTTGGCATCAGCAGTTTAATTTGTTTTTAAGTGCATATTGCTTGTATTTTAAGCCTTGGTAAACTTTTCTGGTGGATTTTGGCATTCCGGGTTAATAGATCTTCCAGAACTGGATTGCTCAAAATGGAATGCAGTACTGTGGCTGGGTTCTAAGCAGGACTTTACATTTGTCCTGCCAATTTGCCATCATCCCTGCCTACATTCTATCCAATGTCTGGAACATTGTGGCATAACAGTACCTCTCACTACTTTACTTTAACAGAAGTGTGAAAGTGAATAACTACCAAAAGAACCACGGATGCTATAAATCGGGAACAAAAGCAGAGATTGCCGGAAAAGCTCAGCAGGTCTGGCAGCATCTGTGATGAAAAAAATGTCAGTTAATGTTGTGGGTTCTGAGGAAGGGTCACTGGACCCACAACATTAACTGACATTTTTTTTTTTCACAGATGCTGCCAGACTTGCTGATCTTTTTCAGCAACTTCTGTTTTGTTGATGTTAATGAATACTAATTTCAATGTAACCTTTTGTTTCTAAATTGGACACTGACTTAAGAGTCAGAGTTGTACAGCACAGAGACAGGCCCTTTGGTCCAAATTATCCATGTTGACCATGTATCCTAAATTAATCTAGTCCCACTTGCTAGCAGTTGGCCCATATCCCTCCAAACACTTCCTAATCAAACACCCATCAAGATGCCTTTTAAGTGTTGTAATTGTAGCAGCCTCCACCACTTCCTCTGGCAGCCTATTCCAGACATTCACCACCCTCCTGAGAAAGTTGCCATCTAGGTACCTTAAATTTTTCCCATCTCACCTTAAACCTATGCCCTCTAGTTTTCAACTTCCCCACCCTGGAATAAATACCTTGCCTATTCATCCTATCCGTGCCCCTCGTGGTCTTGTAAACCTCTATAAGGTCACCCCTCAGCCTCTGGTCCAGGGAAAGTAGCCCCAGTCTCTCCCTCCAGCTGAAACCCTCCAATCCCAGCAAAATCCTTGTAAATCTTTACTGCACCCTTTCAAGTTTAACAGCATCTGCCCTATAGCAGGGGTACCAAAATTTAACATGGTATTCCAAAAGTGGCCTAACCATTGTCCTGTACAGCTGCAACGTGACGTCCCAACTCCTATACTCCATGCACTGACCAATAAAGACAACTGTACCAAACACCACCTTCACTACCCTGTCTACTTGTGACTCCATCTTCAAGGAACAAGGAACTATGAACCTACACCCAAAGATGGCAAAAACTGCAGATGCGGGAGTCAGAGATAACAGTATGGAGCTGGAAGAACACAGCAGGCCAGGCAGCATCAGAGGAGCAGGAAAGCTGACGTATCAGGTCGGGACCCTTCTTCAGAAATGAAGATTTCACCGTTTCTGAAGAAGGGTCCCAACTTGAAACATCAGCTTTCCTGCTCCTCTGGTGCCAGAACCTACACCCCAAGGTCTTTTTGTTTGGCAACGCTCCCCAAGACCCTAATAGTATGTATATAGGTCCTGCCCTGATTTACCTTACCAAAATGCAGTACTTTGCATTTATCTAGATAAAACTCCATCTGCCACTCCTTAGCCCGTACCTCCACCCATTCTCCTGATAACCTTGCATATTCCTTTTTTTATGGAAAGCGGTTTAACTCCCTCTTTAGATGCAAGCATTGAATGTACCTCCTACCAGACTCTCCAACAGTGCAGCCATGCCTTAACCACTTGCTGGGTGAAGATTTGCATCATCATTTTTGCACTTATTGCCAATTACCTTAGATCTGAGCTTTCTGGTTCTTGATCCACCTAAGGGAATAATTGTTCCCTATCTATTCCATCCAGACTCCTCGAGAGTTAGAATGTCTCTATCAAATCTCTTTTCAGTTGCCTTTTCTCTAAGGAAGAGTCCCTCATTTCATGAATTTTTGCTGGACTTACCCATGCCTTCATATCCATCCCTGTGTGGCATCGAGAAATGGATGCAGAACTCTAAACTGAGGCCAGACTAATGTCTTATACAAGTGCAACGTAAGCTCCTTGTTCTCTAGGCCCCTGTTAATAAAGTCCAGGATACTGTATACTTTATTAGCTGTGCTTTCATCCTCACTGACTTGTGGTGCAGATCCCTCTGCTCCAGCACCACATTTTAGAATTGTGCTCTGTCTCTCCGATGTTCTCCTGCCAAAATGAATACCTTGCAATTCACCACATTGCGTTCATCTACCTCCAATCTGCCAGTTCCACCAGCTTAGTTAACAAAAGCTAATCTGACACTATAGGAAACAACTCATTAATGTCAGCTTTCATAGAACAGTCAGTCCTTGTCCTAAGTTATGATCTCATTTTGACCCTAATTAAACTCTTGCTGCTCATACTTGATTCCATTCAGAAGTTCATAACTGTAGGATTGTGCAGATTGATCAAGTGTAACAACGTTAAATGACCAAGTGTGGAAAAATACTGAATAGCATTGGCATTAAATGAGCTGATCAAGACATCGTAAGGTTGTGTTGTTTTTTTGAGGTGTCTACGCAATAGATCCGGCTTGGAATACACGCAAGACACTCAACCAGACCCTGAATGTTGCCATTTACATTGTGTTTTCAGTTTGTGTTCTCTTACCTAATATCAAAAATGTTCTGCAGATTAAATGAGTTTATTCACTTGCATGGTGAGTAATAGATAAATATTTAAGTTCAAAAGCAAACATGATTTGCAGTGCTGACATTATCAGCTCTTTCTCAATTTCATTGCCCCTCAACCTTGCTAATTGTGATAGAATTGAAAGTTTTTAATGTAAATTTAAAAAATTTAGTCCAGGATAGTAATGAAAAAGCAAAAATATACTTTAAGCTTTACCTTCATGATTATTCCCAAATTTTATTTACCTTTATGCTCAGTTTAAAGATAAAGTTGCCATAATCCCAGAGAACCATAGGGTTACTCTATCATCATTATAAACAGATGATGGATGGTGGTTTAACCTACAGGTTGCTACTCCTCAGACAAGGGGAGAGCTTGAGAAGCAGGGACCTTCATGGTAACCTCATCTAACACAGGAATTGAATCTGCACTTTTGGCATCATTCTGCTTCCTCCAAACAGCAGACGATGCAAAAATGGGTGGAAAGGTTAGTTGCAAGAGGGATACGAAGTTTAGAGAGATTAATATTAAGTAATTGGGTAACAAATTGACAAAAGGAATGTGTGGGGAAAATATTAAGCTCATATTTTGGAAGGGAGAAAAGGACAGGTATGATTTAAATAGAGAAAAACAAACCTGCTATGCTACTAGATTGGGGATACTTGTGCATGAAGAAAATGCCAGCACACAGGTGCAGCAGGTAATCAGGAAGGCTAATGGAATGTTGGCCCTTGTGTCAAGTGGGTTGGAATATAAGTTGGGAAGACTTACCGTGACTGTGCAAGGTGCTGGTGAGAGCACGTTTGGAGTACTGAGCAGTTTTGGTTCCGTCCTTTAAGGAGAGGTAGTATTTCATTGGAGGCAGCTCACTAGGATGATCTGTGGTATGGGGGAGCTTGTCTTGCAAGCAAAGATTAAACAGATTGGGACTCTACTACTCACTGGAATTTTAGAAGAATAAGAGGTGATCTCATTGAAACATTTAAGATTCTTAAGGGGATTAGCAGGGTAAATGCTCAGATGTTTCCCTTCATGACAGTCTAGTGTCAGAGGACACAGGCTCAGAATAAAGGGGCACAAATTTAGGACTAGTGAGGAGAAATTTCTCAAGTAGGGAGTCTTTGGAAACCATCCAGATACGTATTATCTTCTATTGTAAGTGATTACTCTTTCACATGCCAGTGCCTTAACAAAGTGGTAAGTGAAAGTGTATAGTTGATAACTACTACCTAGAACTTTTCCCAGGGTAGGGGAGTCCGAAGCTACAGGGCATAGATTTAAGTTGAGGGGAAAGATTTAAAAGGGACCTAAGGTGCAACTTTGAGGGTGATATGTATATAGAGTGAGCTGCCAAAGGAACTAGAGGAGGGTAAAATTGCAAAACTTAAGACATTTGGAGACAGTTTGCTCTTGGGAGCTCAGCAAAGGTTTACCAGGCTGATGGCGGGACAGTTGAGAGATTGACTGACCAACCGACTGTTTTCGCTGCAGTTCTGATAAATGTGGGTGTGTCCAGAACCAATCTTCTCAAGTCTGAGGATTCTGGTTAGACCATTTAGGACGGAGATGAGACATAAGGCGGCACAGTGGCTCAGTGGTTAGCTCTGGTACCTCAGCGCCAGGGACCTGGGTTCGATTCCACCCTCGGGCGACTGTCTGTGTGGAGTTTGCACGTTCTCCCAGTGTCTACGTGAGTTTCTTCTGGGTGCTCCGATTTCCTCCCACAGTCCAAAGATGTGCA